AGCCCCTCGAAGCGCAGCGTGATCTTGTCCTCGGCCAGGTTCACGACGGCCCCCAGGCTCTCCATCCAGCGCGCGGGCAGGAGGAGGGGGACGTCCTCCGCGATCACTCTGAAGAGGATGAGGCACCGGATCCCCGCACTGGTCACCGGCACCATCGCTTCCCCGACGACCCTGGAGCGGCCGCCGATCCCCTTGGCGCTGCTGTTGCCGTCGGTCTTCCTCACCGGGATTCGCCAGCCCTTCTTGTAGTACTTCTCTTGCAACACCTTCAGCTGCTTCTCGCCCACCAGCGCCTGCCCGGCCGCCGTGTCCACCATGCCCTCCGGCTCGTCGCCTTCGATGTCCAGGATGAACGTGCCGAGGATCGCCTCCTCTGACTTCGAACGAAGCCCACCTGGCCCCAGCTCTCTGTCATCGGGAGCTGCTCCCTCTGACCTCGAACGAGGCCCACCTGGCCCCAGCTCTCCGTCATCGGGATCGCCTCGTTCCTCCGCGAGTCCCACCTGGCCTCGCAGAGGCTGGTCGGCTAGCGCTCGTCCGTGGCCCACCTGGCCCCGATCGCAGGACTCGCCGATCAGCACGTTCCGAAACAGCTCCCGAATCCGAGGTCCTCCGACGAGGAAGGCGCCGTCGCCCTCGTCCAGCAAGTCCGCCGCCACGTAGAGCGACTTCCCCCCGAGCTCCTTCTTGGGCCGCTGCTCAATCTGCTTCGGCTTGTACGGATTGGCGCACTCCTTGCGCCAGTGCCCCTTCTGACCGCAGTTGGCGCACCGCGTTCTCTCCTTGAGGCGGGCGATGCGGAGGCGCTGCTTGCCCGCCGGCGGGCGTGGCGCTGCCCGGCCCCCGGCTCTCTTGGAGTCGCAGAAGTCGCGGTCTCGGGCGATGGCCTTCTTCAGCTCTCGCGACTCCGCCCACTTCCGAGGCCGGCCCTCCTTGGTCCTCTTCTCGTCCAGCACCGCGGCCAGGACGGCCGCCGCCTGGTCCTCGTCCAACTCCTGGTTGGCGATCGCCTCGTAGAAGGCCAGCGCGTCCTCAGTGTCCAGGAGGAGGTCCTCCTCCAGCTCGAAGTAGACCTCGCTGCTGCCGAACACCTCCTCGTCGTCCTCGTCCTCGTCGTGTCCGACCGCGTGCACCCTCGACTTTTTCTGACTGCTCTCTTTTTCACGTCCATCTTCTTCAGGCCCTGCTTGATCGACTCCAGATCCTCACGGCCCTGGGTGATCGAGAGCAGGTTGATCGCATTCTGTTCGCTCAGGTTCGCTCCACTCCTCAACTGCTGCACCTGGACCTGCTCTGGGAGCTCGAGCCCGTACCTCTTCGCCGACTTCACCTGTAGGTCCCGGCGCATCACGTACGTGGTGAACGACTCCCCCGCTCTCATCTCGGTGTCCTCCAGTGCCAGTCTGAAGCTCTCCTTGGCCTCGTCGCCGTCCTGGTCGCCCCGGCACCTCTTCAGGAAGTCGATGAGGACCTCGATGCCACCGGGGGCGTCGAGCTCCTCCGCGTAGTGCAGGAGCCTCTCCTGCATGTCCACGGGCAAGCCGTCGATGACCTTGCCCGCCTGCTGCTCAGCCGGCAGGCCCGTCCTTCTGCTCCATCGCCGCAGGGCCACTACGTAGGTCTCGAGATGCTCGAAGCCTCCCCACGGCTGTGGGCCCTGCGTGTCCGATGGGCGCAACGTAGACGTCGTTCCTCCGTCGGTGGGTGCCCATGGCCGTGGCGGTGGCGGAGCCTGCGTCGTCCCGACCGTCAGCTCCATCGCTGCTGCTGCGGGTGGCTGGGTCGGCTGCGCTGGAGCCATCGCCACCGCGGGTGGCCGTGCCGGCGGCGTCGCCGGCGCAGGTGCCGACGGAAGGGCCTCGCGCGGTCTTGACGTGCCCGCTGAGGTCGGCTCCTGCGCCGTGGCGGGATCGCTCCCGGCCGCTCCGCGCATCAGCGCGTGGGGGAGCGGCGGCTGCCGCGGCCTCTGGATGGTGACCCAGACCTCGCCCTCGTCTGCTGGTGAGCTGGTCCACCAGTGGTCTGCATATTCATTCACCTGAGAGCTGGTCCACCAGCTGGCTGAGCCCCACCATTCTCTCCACGAGTTCCACCAGCCGGCACTGTTGTTCCCTGCCGCGTCGCTCCACGGGTCCCCCTGCAGCCAGGGTTCTGCCTCCTCTGCTGTCGTTGCCGGCAAGGGAGCTCCCGCGCGGCCTGTCCCTCGGCTGCCGCTCCCTGCCGTTGCCGGTTCCATTCGCGCCCCTTGGTCTCCGCTGGGAGCCTCGGGCGCTGGTGCTGCTACTGCTGCTGCTGCTGCTGCTGCTGCTAGTGCTGCTCTGGCAGCACGCTCCACCTCGTCGGGCGGGAGGGGTTGCTCGCCTCCCTCGGCGGCGCCCGCTGGCCCTTGTCCCTGCCCAACCATCACGCTCCTGCTACCATGTGAGACGGGTTCGCGGGCGGATCGAGGGACTCTGGAGGCCCAGGGGCGCGCGGGGCGACAAGCGGGAGGCCCCCTTCCTCCCGGATGTTTTGCGCGCTTGAGCCACAATATCACAATAGACGAGACTGTCCGTATTCCCTGCACAACGCAGACAGTCACCCCAGCGACACTGGACACAGTGTCGCGCAACTCGTGAAACACATCAAACTCTGAGAATACTCTAGGGGACCTCATGGGACAGGGGGTTGAGTATTTAAAAGACACCTCCTGCTCCTGCCGTTTGTTCCACCCCAGCAGCTGCTGCTGCTCTCCGTCCTCGTCCTCTCCCTCCTTCCTCATCCTCCTGCTCCTCCTGCTCATCATCTTGTTCATCCGCCACCCCTCTCTCGGGGGCGCGCAAACATGGATCAGCGATCCATGGATTTGGCGCGCGGTCGCCAAATCCATGGATCGAGGGAAGTAGCCTCCCCAAAATGCGGCCGGTGGCGCCTCGTTCGGCGGCGGCAATCAGCCACTTCCTATGGAGACGGAGCCCGTCGCTAAACCACGCCCACTCAATCCATGTTTGCGGTCGCATGACTCTCCTCCCCTGTACGCACTTCCCCCATTTCCGATGGCGCACACCACCACGAGGCCTCTTTTTCGGAGTTCCTGCTCGGCCAGGACACGCGCCCCGCGGGCGGAGACGAATCAGCGCAACGCGAGGCACTGGGTGGGAGAGGCAGGATGCCAGCTTTGGCGCGAGCGCCGCAAAGCCGCCTCCCCCCCTCCGCCCTCCCCCCTCCCGTCCCCGCTCCCTCCTTCCTCTCCACCCATTCTCCGGTCCCGCTCCCTCGCCGCCACCTCTACATGCTGCCGTTCCTCCTATCATTCCGCCTCCTCCTCCTCCTCCTCCTCTTCCTCCTCCTCCTCTTCCTCCTCTTCCTCCTACTCCTCCTCCTCCTCCTGCGCCTCCTCCTTCTCCTCCTCCTCCAACTTCTTTTTCTTCTTCCTCCTTCTCTCCTCCTCCTCCTTCTCCTCCTCCTCGTCATCCTTCTCCTCCTCATCCTCCTCCTCCTCCTCCTCCCTCCTCCTCCTCCTCCTCCTCCTCCTCCTCCTCCTCCCTCCCCCTCCTCGTCCTCCTCCCCCTCCTCGTCCTCCTCCCCCTACTCCTCCTCCTCTTGCTTGTGCTCCTGGTCCTCCTCCTCCTCTTCTTCCTCCTCTCCAGCCCCTCGACGTCCTGATTTTGTTTCACGACATGGACTCTGGAGGTCTCGGAAGGGGCCGGTTTTTCATCATGCGTCGTTTTGTTGACGGCCTCCCATGGCCACGCATGGGGACCCCTCGAGGCCAGCAGTAGAAAACAAGAGCTCCACCGTCTTTTTCACGACTCGAGGGGGTCTGGGTCTCCTCCCTCCTCCCCCTTCCCTTGTATGGGGGGGCACCCGAGTGGGTCCCCACCCGCGTCGCACAGGTGAGTAACTTTTAATTCGGCGTTTCGACATTGGGCGGAAAGGGTGGGGGGAGGGGGGGGTCTGGCTCCAGACCTCTGCTTAGTGCGACTGTTTGCGACAGTGCGTCCTATGAGGGGAGACTCCGCCCGCTCGAAACCGGCGCCAACAAAAACAGCCAAGATCCACTCCGGGGGTGGGGGGGGTTGAAACCCGCGCCGATCGGCAAAACAAAGAATAAGACAACGAAAACCAGGGGACCCCTGGGCTTTGAGATTGGGTCCCTGCGCGACCACGCCTCAGCAGCAAACCTGCCGGGCAACTCGCGCCTGCGGAGCACGCGGCCTTCCTTCGCAGCTGGCCGCGGGTGCTCTCGAGAGCGAGGAAGAGGAGAAGGGAGAACACCGGGAAAGAACTGGGAGATGGATGAAATAGACGCCGATCGCTCCTTCCCTACAAGGCAGAATCAAATAATCGCCCTGTCACGCGAAGCCGCTTCGTAAACGCACCCGCACCAGGAATCGAACAGGGCACTGCTGTTTAATAAACGCCGGCGGCCGTTGAGCAAACGCCGATCATCGGGTCCGGGTGTTTTTTCCTCCCTCGATTCCCCCCGCCTCTTCCTCACCCTCCTCCTCCTCCTCCTCTTCCTCCTCCTCCTCCTCCTCCTCCTCCTCTGATCCGAGCCTCTCCAATCCAGCTCATGCTGCTGCTGTTCGTGTTCGTCCTCCCATATCATGCTCCTGCTCGTCCGCCACCTCTTCTCCGACTGCGCGTGGCGCGATGGGGTCTTTTTTGAGCTCTAGGTCCGCTGTGGAACTCGTCGGCGGATAATGCAAACGTCAGCGTCATGGGAAAACGATGGGTGGGATGGGTAGGATATCTAATGCAAAAAAGCCCAAAACCAAATCGATAAATCAGATTGGCGATCGAAATGAATCGGATCGGCAGAAATCGGCAGCCGAGTCGGAAAAAACGAATCGCCGGAAATCGGCACAATACTAAGTCTTCGAGAAATCGAAGCCCGGATCGGGATCGAAGTCGAATCGAACCGAATCGGCGTCGTCCTCCTCCTCCTCCTCCCCCTCCTCCTCCTCCTCCTCCTCCTCCTCCTCCTCCTCCTCCTCCCCCTTCCCCGCGCCCCCCTCCTGTGCGGCGGCGCATTGGCCGGCCTCGCGGCTGCTCCAACGCGCCTCGGCTGGGGCTGCTTCCCGGAAGCGGCGGGGCTCGCAAGGGACATCTCCTCGCCGGGCCCGTGGGGCGCAGGGTTCGGTCGGGCCTGCCCCCCGACAGGCAGATTTGGGAGGACAGATGCAGATAATCAAACCATGCGCAAGATTTGTGGAACAGAAATAATTACCCCGACGGAAAGGCCCCACATGAAAATCCTTTCCGGCTGAGCGGGCAATAACTCTCACTGTCGTCCTCGCGACTATGCAGGGCCCCCAGGACACACAAATAAATACACACAAATAAAAGGATTCCCATATGTTCCCATATGTTCTGGGTTTTTGTCTTCTCCCCCCACTTCCCATATTTTCCTATATTTTCACGGGAATCGATGATTAATTGTGTCTGTGTGTTTTCCCCTCCTGAGATTAGTGAGGCGCCCTGAATGGTCTTCTCTGCGTCATTATCATTCTCGCCCTGGCGCAGGGCCCTCGCTCGCTCCCCGCGTTGCCCTTGCCTCGCCCTCCTGCTGTTTGCTTCGCCGGCCACCATCTCCTCGCCTGTCTACTGCAAGCGCGCGCGCGCCGATGTTCCTCGACGCCGCCGCCGCCTCGGCCAGCGCGGGCGCATTCTCGAATGACCGCGCCGCGCCGCCGTTGGGACAACCCTGCGGGCCGGGCCTTGGGGGAAACCGCGCGGGCCGCTGGGGCGCGGGAGCAAGCCGTCGGGACAACCCCGCAGGCACCGAACTGACGTCACGGCCGCGCTCAGGCGGGAGGCAGCACGAAACCAAGCCAGCCCGAAGACAAGGGGTTGCCCCTGCCCCCGATTCGGCTGAAGATGGGTCACCACCGCCAGCCCGGAAACAAGGGTTTCCCCAGGCCCCCGCTCCGACCGAGGATGGGTTACCACCCCCGGCCCGGGCGCAAGGGCTTCCCCCTGCGCCCAGCCGCTGTCGTCTGAAGCGATGGGTCGGGCGGATCGCCCTCTGAAAAGCGCATAGGGACGGGGCTCCCGCCTGAGACTTCCTCACCGTTCACTCACAGCTGAAGCTCCCGCCTGATACTTCCCCTATATCCAAGCCTCAGGAGCCCAAAAGTGACGACGGTTACAACAATCAGGCTGACCCGCTCGGATAAAAAACGTGAAGTGCGGGCCCCATAGAGAGGGGGCTCCCGCCTGAGACTTCCCCACAGTTCACTCACACACGAGCTTCCCGCCTGGTACTTCCCCGTAGTCAAGCTAGCGAATGAGTGGGTGAGTGAGTGAGTGAATGACTGAACGAGTGATGATGATAATTATGAGGATGATGCAGATGATGAGTAAGTGGGTGAGTGAGTGTGTGATCGAGTCATGGTCAAGATGATCAAGATGGTCTGTGTGTGAGTGAGTGTGAGTGTGTGTTCCTGTGTGTTCCTGCGCGGGGTGTCCAGAGAAAACAAGAGACCCACTTTGGATGTGCGCAGGGACAGGGGGCAGCGCCCCTCTTTTTATCCCTCGGGCTAGAGGGAACGGAGGAAGGAGGAGGAGAACGAGGAGGCGGAGAAGGAGGAAAGGGAGGTGGAGGAGAAGGAGGTGCAGGATTCGGCTGTACCCCCCGGAACTGATGGCTGGATGGAGAAAGGGGAGGACGAGGAGGAGGAGGAGGAAGCGGAGGAGGAGGAGGAGGAGGAGGAGGAGGAGGAGGAGGAGGAGGAGGAGAGGGAGGAGGATGAGAGAGGGTGGCTGGGTCGTGAGAGTGGAGGGAGGCAAGCCAGGTGCGCTCGCGCCAAATCTGACGTCCTATCCCTCCATCCCATCCATTTCAATTGCCGTGTGTGTTGTCTCTGTCCGCGGACGCGTGTCATAGCCGACCTGGGACTTGAAACACACAGACCTCGTGAGATGCGCAATCGGAAGGGAAGCTGCGTACACGGAAGAAGGAAGAGGAGGAGAGGGAAAGGCGAGCGTCGGATGCGCAAGGGGATGCGCAGGAGGACGAACAGATCGAGGAAGGAGGAGAGCGAGGACGAGCAGCAGCAGCAGGAAGTGGCGCGGAAGGAGAGGGAGGGGCAGGAGGGCCAGGGGAAGGCGGAGGAGGGGAAAAGAGCGGGGCGACAGCGATGAAGAACTACTTGGATCCAGAAAAGTGGCCCGCGCTTGAGCGGCAGCGCCATCCTGCACGACGGGAATGCGCCGATCCGAAACTGAGCCCACGATGACGCGAGAGTGCCATCTGGAAACACAGTAAGCGATCGGATTGCAAGACACACGACAAGCAAACACAAGTAGCGGAGATATTCGGAACAACGCCCTGGTAGAGACAAGGGTAGCATTCAAGTGGTATTCGTATCGTGTATGTGTCACGCCAGGTGCGCTCGCGCCACATACGACGTCCTATCCCTCCCTCGCATCATTTCCCATTGCACTGATGTTTTCTCTATCCGCGGACGCGGGTCTTAGCAGACCTGGACCTCCAAACAACATCGCCATCGTGTTATGCGCAATCGGAGATCGGGAGCTGCGTGCAGATGTAATTATTAGGGAGAGGAGGTGGCGGACGAGCAGGAAGACGGGCAGGAGGGAAAGGAGTATGAGGACGGAGGAGGACGAGGACGAACATCAGCAGCAAGAACTGGAGTGGAAGGAGCGGGAGGAGCAGGGCTTGCAATCCACAGCCATGGGCCCCGCCTACACAGGGCCAACAGTCTCGAGATCGGCAGTGACTCCCTTCTGCCGAGGGTCGGGATGGAGCCCCCCCTGCGCAATCTCGTCCAGACTTCGCTGCGCTTCAGGGCGCCTCCTGAGGCGTTGCTTCGCAAGTCCTTGCAGCTGGCCCCCATGGGACGCACAGAGACATACTAATACTACAGGTCCTCCTCGGAGGCGCCCCTCCGACCCGAACATCTAGTTTTCCCATCTTGTAGTAGGATCGTTCCGCGAACGGTGTGGCCAGAACGCGCCCGCCACGACGCATATACTACAAGATTTCTCGGTGCGCGCGGCGCCCCTGGGGGGGGGGGACGAGCATACTTAGTACAGGCATGTTGGGGCGACGCCGACGCCAGAGGTGAGCCCCCGGCAGAGCTGACGGTCGCGGGCGAAACTGTCGTCTGGCACGCCTGCCACCGGGCATGGGCGACCCCGGACTCTCAGGGACGCGGGGCCACCTCGGAGGCGCCGACGTGTGCAGACTCCCAGGGATGGCCCTCGGGGGCCCTCCTCGACCCTCGCAGGCACAGGGGTCACTGCACAACCTCCTCTGGGTGTCTTGATAAGCGTGGGGGGGTACCCCCCCAACCCGACGGGGGTCCACCTCGCCTCGTCGTCGCGCCGCGACGGGGCTCGGAGCGCCTTCGGCGCGCCTTGGCTGCCCGCGACGGGGGTCGATGTGGGGCTGTCGGTGGGGGTGGCGCCCCCCCGACGCTTATTAAGAAACTCGGAGTACCCACCCACATCCACTCATGCCCAGCGCCAGCAGGCTTGGGCGAAGGAGCTGCCTCGGGTGTGCGCTCCACTCCGCTCAAGCCTGCCCCAGGCCAGTCGCGCAGACCTTTAGCGGCTAGTGCTCTGACCGCCTTCGAAACCTGGACCAGAAAAGGCCAGGCGGGATGCCGGCGGGCTCCTGCTTTCTCGGCCTCGCATGCAGCACTGTTGCCAGCGGTGCGTATCCTCTCGCTGGCAGGGAAGGCGACATCGCCCTCGCGATGCGCCTTCGCTTTCACGACAGTGCGGATGCGTCGGCCACCGAACGCGTCTGCCTGAATAAAAGGCAGCTGTAGGGCCTGCGGAGAGGCAGACGGTCATCGCGACCCTGGTTAAGCTCGTTCACAACAAGCAGGCAATCGCTGAGGTCGGCTAATTATGCTGCAACACTTGTTTGCGGGTGAAAATTGCCGGCTGCCCCAAACGCACGCGCAAGGACCTTTTTCCCGCAGGACCGACCATTACAGCGCCCCGCCCCGAGTGGAAATGATCCTTGCTCGCGCGGTGCATGCACGAGCCATCGATATATGACGCCCATAGGATTTCCTGCACCCCTTCCCTTCGGCAGGAACCTTGACAACCCTCAGCCTCGGAGGTCCCAGGAGCAACCTGGAAAACCTCAGACTCGACATGGCAGGGCGAAGTTGCTGCCCACTTCCGATCGACGGCGCTCCCCCCCACCTGGGGTAACCACAGGATACCGACGCCGCTACTCCCAGGACGTGTTCTAATCAGAATGCCGAGGCGAATCCAGCCATGTTGACGAGGGTCCCCCAGGAGGCCCCAATGACGGCGAACACGAGGGAAGGGCGACAGTATCCTCAAAAATCCGACGTCTTGGTGGCGTCAATGTGGGGTCCCCGGAAGTCCCGACCCTTTTCCCCAAAGGCCGCGTTTTTATCCTGAGCGGTTTTGAACGGTCCTGGGGCCCAGCGAGGGCCCCCAAAGGCAACAAACAGCGAAAAGGTTTCGTCCCGTTCCTGTTCAGTATGTTCGATACCTGGGTCGGCACCTTTTCCTCAAGTGCGATCCCTGAGATCCGACCTTGCGAACACAAGCTCAACATGTCAGCGTTTTCTTATTCGGCGTTTCGACTTTAGGCGGAAGGGGAGGGAGGGGGGGATCTGGCTCTGGACCTCTGCTTAGTGCGACTGTTTGCAGCGGGGCACCCATTATGGGGGAGAGTCCACCTGCCTGAAACAGGCGTCAAAAACATCCAAGATCTACTCCAAGGAGGGGTGCGGGGGGGTGCGAAAGCCTGCGCCGATCGGCGAAACATTGAATCTGCCGGCCCCCTTGTGGGGCCACCAGGCTGTAGGACGAGGGTTTGCTGTTCCCTGCGCCAGTTCCAGTTTCCAGTTCCCACTGTTACAATATTGCTTTATGCTGCTTACTGCTCCTTGTTGTAGACCGCGCGTGGGGGGGAGCCGAAAAGCGTCCAGATTACCATGCCCGAGTCGCGGGCTCTGAATTGCAAGGGGCGTGGGACACTAAAGAATACTCGAAATTCGCGCACCCGAAACCATATACCCGCGTAAATTACATCATACTCGCGTTCCCGAGGCCATAAACCTCTGTGAATCACACAATTCTCGCGTCCCCGAAACTATACGAATTCGCAAAATCAGTCTTATTCGTGTCCCCGAAGATATAAACCCTGGTGTCCCCGAAGATATAACCCCCTGCGTCCCCGAGGCCACAAACGCTCGTAAATCACGCGATATTCGCGCCGCCGAAGCCATACACCTTCATAAACTACATTATATTCGCGTCTCCGAAGCTGTACCCCCCCCGCAAATTATTCCATCTGTGCGTTCCCGATTTACTTTATATTCGCGTCCCCGAAGCCATAAACCCTTGCACAGTACGCTATATTCCATATTCGATGCCAGAGACCATCGTACATTACACAATAGTCGCGTCTCCGAAGCCATACACCTGCGTAAATGATGCAAGAGTTACGACCTCGAAACCATACACGATTGTAAGTAATTTGCACAATAATCGCGTGCCCAATGCCATAAACCTTCGTGAAGTACGACAGGTTCGCGTCTCCGAAGCCATACACCTGCGTAAATGATGCTAGATTTGCTACCGCGAAGCTATAAACCCTCCTAGATGACGCGCGATTCGCGTAACCGAAGCTATAAGCCCGCGTAATTCACGCTTCGCGTCCCCGAATCCATCAACCCTTGTAAATTAAAAGAAAAGTACGCTGTATTCGCGTCCCCGAAGCCATGACTCATCGTAAATTACATTATGATGTCGGCCAAGAAATCACAAACCCTTGTAATTTACAAAAGAATAGCCACGTGTCTGAAATTCGGCGGCACCCCTCACGCAGATCGGCGGGGTCAGGGTCGAAAAACCAATGGGATTTGCCACATTTTGGAAATTCGGCGGCACCCCTCACGCAGATCAGCAGGGTCAGGGTCAAAAAACCCATAGGACTTGCCACCTTTGCGAAATTCGGCGGGAAACCTCAGTGCACAGCGTACGGAGGCAGGTTCAAAATGCAACGCTGAATTCAACAATATCATCAGAATCTCAGTTTCTCTTGCCGATGCTACTTCACGGCGGCGCCGAGGCCTCATGATTTAGCCCTTGCATCGCCAAGTATCCGAGAGAGGGGGCCGGCGGCAGGGGGCGAAGCCCTTACGGATAAAAAACGCTCACCATCACGACAAATCACGACAGGGGCCCTAGACCCAATCTCTCTGCTGCAGTCTTCGAACACGATCGATCCTTGATGGCCCCGGGGCCCTCAGCTGAGCGAAGACACGCCCGCTGCGAAAAAACACACTGCCACGCCCAGACCTCCCTCCCCAGGATTTGGCATGGGCTCCTTCTCCTCCTCCTCCTCCTCCTCCTCCTCCTCCTCCTTCTCCTCCTCCCTCCCTCCCTCCCTCCCTCCCTCCCTTCCTCCCTCTCCTCCTCCTCCTCCTCTTCTTCTTCCTCCTCCTCCTCCTCCTCCTCCTCCTCCTCCCTCTCCTCCTCCTCCTCCTCCTCCTCCTCCTCCTCCTCCTCCTCCTCCTCCTCCTCCTCCTCCTCCTCTCTTCCTCACCTCCCCTTCCCCCTCCTCCTCCTTAGGACTTCTCCTCCTCCTCCTCCTCCCTCCTCGCCCTCCTGCTCCTCCTCCTCCCCCTCCCGCTCCTCCTCCTCCTCCTCCTCCTCCTCCTCCTCCTCCTCCTCTGATCCGAGCCTCTCCACTCCAGCTCATGCTGCTGCTGTTCGTGCTCGTCCTCCCATCTCATGCTCCTGCTCGTCCGCCACCTCCTCCTTCGATGTGCGCAGCTCAGCTTCTCCGACTGCGCTTGGCACGTGGGGTCCTCTTTGAGCTCTAGGTCCGCTGTGAAACTCGTCGGCGGATAAAGCAAACGTCAGCGTCATGGAAAGGAATGGGTGGGATGGGTAGGATGTCAAATGCAAGAGAGCCTAGAATCGAGTCGAAAATTCGGATCGGCGATCGAAATGAATCGGATCGGCGGAAATCGGCAGCCGAGTCGGAAAAAGTCGGATCGGCGGACATCGGCACAGCACTAAGTCTCCATGGACAAATCGGAGCCCAAATCGGACTCCGAAGTCGAATCGAATCGCACTCGGAAGCCAGCGACGTGGAATCGCACCGGAGGAATCGAGGCGAGCCCTGCAGACGGGGCGCGAGCGCCCCTCGCCTGCCTGCCCCCCTGCGCCCTGCCCCCTCCCTCCCCAGGACCCCCGACGCCAGGGCTTCTCCGCCGCGTGGGCCCCCGGGAGGTCTCGACGCAGTCCCCAAGACTGGCTCTTCATCCCGAGTCGTCTCGTGCCCAGCGAGGGGGGCCATTGGGGGGCAAACAAAGCTGCATCGCTTTTTTGACCACCCTCGCCTCCAAGAGATGCCAAGCGGTGCCAAACTGCAGCCTGTACTGGTCAGGCCGCTTGACGAGGAGGCGCGTGGTATGACTTGGTTTTGCCTGGAAGCGACAGCGGGGTAGGTCATTCACGCTCTGAGCCATGGAGCCCGAACGAAACGCCAGCGAAAAACTCACCCAGCGCGTTTTTCTTTTTCACGCCGCGAGGGGGCCTGGGCCTCCTCCCCCCTTCCCATTACCCCCTTCCCCCCTCCCCCTCCCCCCTTCCCCTCTTCCCCCTCTTCCCCCTCTTCCCCCTTCCCCCCCGTCCCCCCTTCCCCCCTCCCCCTCCCCCCTTCCCCTCCCCCCTTCCCCCCTCCCCCTCTTCCCCCTCCCCGCGACGTCGGCTTGGAGGAAAAATCGGGCTGCACATCGAGCAGCATCGCCGATGCACCAGCGAGGCGGCGTGATCCTCCGACCCCCTCCGCTCGGACCCCATGTGTCTCGCAGGGGAGCAGGGTCGAGGTCCGAGGACCGAGGAGCCAGACCTCCAGGAGCGAGGCTCGAGGCTCCACACCTCGAGGAGCAGGCTTTAGCATCGAGGCCCGAGAGGTTCGAGGCTCCAGGGGCGGGCCGCATCAACTCGGACCCTATTATGGGAGGCTTGGTGCCGTGCACACGCTCGGCCGTCGTCGCCGCCAACGCTGCCGCGCCGTCGTCGTCGTCATCGTCGTCGCTGCCGCCGCCGCCGCCGTCGTCGCCGTCGTCGTCGTCGTCGTCGTCGCCGTCGCCGTCGCCGTCGGCGCCGTCGGCGCCGTCGCCGTCGCCGTCGCCGTCGCCGTCGCCGTCGTCGTCGTCGTCCTCTCACCCCGCCGGGCTCCTCCGCAGCGCGGCGCGGGCCCTTCCGCAGCGCGGCGCGCGGGGGCGGCGCGCAGGGCCAGGCCCCGGGCTCGGGAGGGGCTGCTCGGGGACTTCCGCGCAGCGCTCGGGAGCCCCAAGCGGCCAACTACGGAGGGTGTCGTCGTCGTCGGCGGCGGCGGCGGGAGCAGTCAGCATCGAATCGGGCTATCGGATCGGCTCGGATCGCGTATTCGATCAGGCCGCGTTTGACCCCGTCCCTCTCTCATTCCTCCTCCTCCTCCTCCCCTCCTCCTCTCCTCCTCCTCCTCCTCCTCCTCCTCCTCCTCCTCCTCCTCCCTCCTCCTCTTCCTCCTCCTCCTCCTCCTCCTCCTCCTCCTCCTCCTCCTCCTCCTCCTCCTCCTCCTCCTCTCTGCCACATGGCGCTCTGCGGAGAGTACACACAATGTAACGAATCGGACCTCATCGGCTCGGAGTCGGGATCGGATCGAATCGGCGGCGCCAGGATGCAGAACAGCGCCATACAAGCAATTGAGCCGCATCGGATCGCCCCCAAATCCGCCGACCCCCGCTTGGCGGTGGTGAGAAGGCGTGTGAGATGATTGGCAGTCTCCACCCCCTTCCCCCCTCCCCCAGGGTCGAACATTTTGTTATATGGGGGGGGGATCCAGGCTCGTCGGCGCACCCCCGGACACTCCGGAGCTTCCAAATCTACCTTCTGTGGCTTGAGAGACGTTCCAAGACGGACCCGAATCGCGGAAGGATTGGCACAAGACGCTTGCGATGGCTCCAAAACGCCCCAAGACGCCATCGAGATGCCGCAAGAGCCTTCCCAAGAGGGCCCCGAGAGGCAAACATCTGTGGTTTTTCATTGTTTCCAGGGTTATCTTCTTCTGACACACCAAGATGGCCCAAGAGGCCCTGTAGACCGCCCCAGAACTGCCCAAAGAGGCCCCTTCTAGGGCCCCAGGACGGCCCAAGAAGGTTCCAAGATGGCCCAAAGAGGGGCTCAAGACGGCCAAAGATCGCCCCCAGGGGGCTCCAAGAGAGGCAAAGAGGGAAGACGCAAACCAGCTTCCCATCTTTCCCCCCGAAGAGGCCTCCAAAGGCCCCAAGAAACCACCAAGCGGCCCCAAAGAGGCCCCCAATAAGTCCCAAGAAGTCTCCGAGAGGCCCGAACGAGGCCCCCAAACGGGCTCCAAGAAGCTTCCAAATTGCCTCCAAGAGGCTCCGCCAGGCCCCAAACAACTCCCGAGACGCCCACAAACGACCCAAAATGACCAGCGCCCAAGAAGGCCACGACGCCTCAACCGTGGACACTCTCTGCCTCTCCTGGGTGTCGGCGGAATGGCATAAGCCTCTTCGGTCAAAACCGAATCGAAGCGGGTTTGGAGGAGGAGGAGGAGGAGGAGGAGGAGGAGCACCGACTCGAAATGGACCCTCAGGGGGAGGGGAGGCCTCGGATTCGCGGTGTCTTCGAAGCTATTGATCTCCTGGCCTCGTGGGAGGAGGAGCGCAGCGTGGGCTCCGAGCCCCACGGAGAAGGGCCACGGCCCGGAAGGCGCGCCGAAGAGACGCTCCGGAGCCCGGACGCGGCCCCGCACGCCGACTCGCCTGGCCACACCCTGCCCCGCCCCCTGCCCCGATCAGGAGCAAGGCCGGGGCGGTGGCCTGGCACATGCCGAAAGAAAAGGAGGAGGAGGAGGAGGAGGAGGAGGAGGAGGAGGGGATGGAGGTTCGTGAGTCGGAGTTAGCAGACCACGATTCTGGAGTATTTGTCTCCCTCCTCGGGCCTCTGGGAAGCTTCTCGTCGCCGCAGCTGGATCCGCTCTGGGAAGCTGGACGGAGCGCATCTTTGGACAGATCCAGGGGTCGATTTTTGAGCAACTGACCCATGCCCAGACCCCATTGCGTCGCACGCGAGCCAGCCACGACGGAAAATTTGACAACCTTCGGCCTCCAGGCGCCATTAACGGACTCCAAGAACGTTCAGAAACGGCTCAGGATGAACAGCCGCTCCCGGGGAAGGGCCGAATCCTCTGGGGTCCACGTTTTGCTCAAACCAGGACCGCAGGGGATCAGGAAGACTGAGGCGCAGCGCTGGGTCCCCGCTTACTGCTGCTGTTGCTGCTGCGAGAGCCAGGGCACGCGTGCCACTTCTTCCCGCCCGTTCGTCCTCGTTCGGGGGCGCGCAAACATGGATTGGCGATCCATGGATTTGGCGCGCGGTCGCCAAGTCCATGGATCGGAGGAGGTGCCCTCCCCAAAATGCGGCCGGTGCCGCCTCGCTCGGCGGCGGACATCCGCGATTGCCCATGGAAACGGGACCCGTCGCTAATCCACGCCCCCTTGATCCAGGTTGGCGGTCGCCTGAGTCTTCCCGCTCGTTCGTCCTCGTCCGTCCTTGGCACACTCCAGGCGCCGATGGCCCCCACTTACCAGCCTGGAACATATTGGGCGCCCGAGTTATCTGGGGTAACTCGGCTCCGGGGTAACTCGGGTTTGGATTCCGGAAAAAGGAACCCGAGTTAGCCCTGACCCGAGTTATCCCTGATGATTCGGGGCTCTGGACGCCCGAGTTATCCGGGGTAACTCGGGTCAGGGGTAACTCGGGTTTGGATTCCCGAACAACGAACCCGAGTTATCCCTGACCCGAGTTATCCCTGATGATTCGGGGCTCTGAACATATCCCTATGCCTATGCTGGGCATCGCCTCATCACGATACCGATCTTACGGATTCTGAGGGCGCACCCCTAAGATTGTCATCGCCTTTTCGCGTGCCCATCTCAAGGATAAGTCGGGCCTGTCCCCCTACAAGGGGTTTTTCAACGAGAAATAAGAAATGCCCCAAACATAATCCGACAATAATCCAAAAGTCTGGGGACTATTATCTGCGTATTTTTTTGCCTTTTTGATATATATATATATATATATATATATATATATATATATATATAGTTGGGTAATTATTCTATTTCTTGCCGAAAATCCCCATGTAGGGGGACAGGCCCGACTTACTCTTAGGGATAGGAATGTAAGTTCGGGGCTGGTGACCCGTGGATTAGTTCGGGGATAGGGATAGGGATAAGTTCGGGGATTTGGATACAAGTTTGGGGATAGGGACAAGGAAAGGGATATAAGTTCGGGGACAGGGATAGGGATAAATTCGGGCGCATCCCTAAGATTGTCATCGCCTTTTCGCGTGCCTTTGGACGCCCGAAATGGGTACGGAAAGAATGGGTACTGTGCCCAACAACCAATGTTGTCCCAAACCGACAGCGGCCGCTGTTGGGCAGGCGGCCTTCTGTCTTAAATGGACACGGGCCGCGGCGGCGCGGACAGCGAGCCCTGTTCGAAATGGGCAGGAAATGCTGTTGGGCATTGTACCCACTCTTTCCGTGCCCATTTCGGGCGTCCAGAGTGCCAACCCTTAGGGGTAGGGATCTACTAGGCGTGGCCACGAGTACACCTGGACCGCGAACACACCTGCGGTGGCCGTCACTCCCACCCGCAAGCCACCCCACCATAAAGATCATCTCTCCCCTCGTCAGAACCACATCGAATACAACGTCGACGACGACGACGTAGAGACATAAGCTCGGGGCCGGTGACCCCCTGGCCTCTCCCGCTGGCCGGGGGCGCCTCCCACCGGCCGGCCCCTGGGGCCCCGGCCTCGGGCCCCGGCCCTGGAGCCCGGGCCCCTCCGTCTCCGTGCCCAGGCCTCCAGGGGAGGGCCCAGGAGGGGCCCCCCCCCTCCTCCTCCTCCTCCTCATCCTCCTCCTCCTCCTCCTCCTCCTCCTCCTCCTCCTCCTCCTCCTCCTCCTCCTCCTCCTCCTCCTCCTCCTCCTCCTCCTCCTCCTCCTCCTCCTCCTCCTCCTCCTCCTCCCCCTCCTCTTCCTTCTCCTCCTCTCTGTTCCTTTCGCCTCCACCGCGTGCAGGAGCCAGGACGTGCGTGCCACCGCCTCGCGCGACGTGGTGGCCTCCGCGTGCCAAGCGCGAGTGCGCCGGGCATGGGAAGGCAAGACTTGCCGTCGCTCGGACGTCCATTTCCCGTGCATGTTTCGGTTCCGTGCGTGCTTGTTTTGTTGGCTCGATGGTCCAGGATGGTCCTCGATGGTTCTCGCCGAGAAAATATGCACACGTCCGAGCGTTGCCAGGAAGAGGGCACTTGTGTCTGAAGGGGAACTGGGACACACAAATAAATACACACAAATAAAAATATCCCCCAAATTTCCCCATATTTTCTGGGTTTTTGTCTTCCCCCCCACTTCCCACATTTTCCCATATTTCCTGGGAATCGCCGATTAATTGTGCCTGTGTGTTTTTTCCCCTCCTGAGTGCCTGCCTCCTCCTGCGCCGTCGGCGGGGACTGCAACGGCGCCGCCCCTCCCAATCGGCTTCTGCCGAGTACCTTCGCGGCGGGCCCGGCCCTGTGCGACGAGCGCGGGGGCCCGACGACGGCGGTGGCCGCCGGAGGTCCCCCCTGGGGCCTCTCTGCAGGCTTCCAAAAAGAGGCCTCTCCAAAGGAGCCTCCGAAGACCCCTCCGAAGACCCGTGCTGCAACTTCTCGATCGGTATAAGCCTCCACCCTCGACCGATGGCCCGATCCCCACGACGACCGCCCTGTTAACACGCTCAAGAAGTCGGTCCCGAGACCGGGGCTTCTCCTGACCGGTGCCGCTGCGTGCGGCCGAGGCTGCGAAGACCCCCAAATGCACCCCCAACTGTCCGCAACGAACTCAGCACGAACGAGATGGGCCCCTGTGGAAACCCAGACGCGCGACGTCCTGACTTTTTTCAATACGGGGTCCCTGGAAGTCCCGACCCTTCCCCCAGGACCTGTTCTTCATCCTGAATCGTTCTTTGACTGTCCCGGGGCCCGGTTAGGGCCCTCCGAGGCCGATAATGGCCAAAAATCATCCGTCCTGATTCCTACGACGCGATCATGTCTGGGAATAGGTCCTGGACCCAGGGGCTATCCCCAGAGTCAACTTTTCAGCCTGGCAAGTCGTTTGACAGCGCCGAGCCTGGGAGGGGCCCCGGGAGCCCGAAGGGGGGGGGGGGCACACACCGCAGGACTCCCGCTTCCTCCGAGCAGGGGATCGACTACAGCTACAGAATGGATCTACCCCAAATTTGACTCCCTC